GAGGAAGGTAGAAGATTTTGAAGATTAGAGTGAAGAAGATTTGAAATTAAAGTTTGAAAAATGAAGAATGAGGATATTTATAATTTCTTAATGACGGTTCAAAGCAGGTAATGGCCGATCGTCGACTGACGCGCATTAAATGCCTGGGAAACTATACCGATGAGACGTTTCGGTTACCTCTGCTGCTTACGTCATGATGATCGAGGTGAAGATCGAGGGCTCAAATCATTTCTTGTCATTACTCTCCAAAAAACGAAGGGACTATCTGTATACGGTAAAAATCAGGCTTTCCTTTTTTGTATAATTAATCAAGACCGGGGCGTGGCAGGCCAATGTTCGACACCATGTCATACCGGACCGTGGCACGAAGTTAGAATGCCAAGCTCGTGACTCAGGGACCGATCGAGATCGAGATCGGCCAAGATCGAGACCGAACGGGATAGAGATCGAGCAAGATCGAGGGAAGCCAGCCGAGCCAAATAACGGAAAGCCAAGATATCCGTGATCGGGCGAGGATCACGATGGAACTCTCTGCAGGTATCAAGAAGAGGCTAATTAATCAGCTAATCATGAGATTTCTTACTATATTTAGGATCGTATTAAGGGTAGGACTCCCCTACTATATAAAGGGGGTCTGATCATTTGTAAAGCGGGACATTCATGTTACATAAATCAATATATTATCTTTCTCTAGTTTTCATTATCTTGTTACTTTATTCTTGTATCAACTGAATCTTCACTTGGTTTAAGGGTGATCGAATTCAATGGCCAAGGCTATTTGATTAGTTTGGTTTGCATTTGTTCCTTTACAGTCAATTTCGATATCAATTTACGTTTTCCTCAGTTTGTGCCAAGTAAAATCACGTGTCCTTAAAATCACATATAAATTCAATTGTTATTTGTTTTTAGAGTAAATAGGTTCTTTGAGTCCAAAAGAACCACAATTTGGTTCCGGACTCCTACTTGTAGTCTATTGCAACTGTTCACGTACTTGTTATAGGCATATTTTCCAATTATTTCACTTCAAATAGCACATCTCGGGATTTTTTATTTTGATTACTATTTGAAATATATTGACTCAGCCTATTTTTGCGAATAATTGTCGGTTCATATCCATACTATATATCCATATATAAAGAGTAAAGGTCGCACTAGCTATAATCTTTATATAATATAGTAAGTGAATATAAAGATTAATATAACCTTCTTTTTTAAACTTGGAATATTGAGATATTGTTTATTGGTTTGATTGAATGTTTGAAATTTGCTCCTTGTACTGTAATTTCACTCTGTATTAAAAAATTCTTTTTCAATAGTAATCAGGGGCACAACCCAGAGACGGATCTAAGATTTGAAAGTGGCCGGTACCATAATTTCTTTTAATGTATACCTTGTAATGACTAATATGAAATTTGTTAGGAATATTTATTCGGTTTTTTAAATAAGGAATCATACCTTAATTATAACAACACAAGTAAAATTAATATTTTCACTAAGAAATTACATCTTTTTTTATATATTAAAAATAAATTTACACAAAATAACATCTTCAATAAGGAAACTACATCAAGCAGAATAAGAAATTTTTTAAAAATATCTTAATAGATAAATTATATCCCACAAGTATAGAATTAAATAAACTAGAAGCACATTCTCAAAAATCAAAATCATAAATCTCATATTTTTTACGCAATGCTTACGAAATTTTTGTCATAATTTAATAGTAAAGAGATTTGAATTATATTTAATAACCATAGAATAACACAAATTTTTATGATATAATAAAAAAAGATGAAAAAAATTTGATCTCAATCGAAAATTCCCATTAAGACTTAAATTTTTCGGATATGAAAGAAGAAAACTCATAAATTTGAGATTAAGAGGAATGCTTATTTTATAGAATTTTATAGTGTTGGGGTCTCTTTTTTTTATTGTTCTTGTTAGAGACCATATATAAATGATAGAATAAAGATCCCTTAAAAAAAAAGATAGAATAAAGAAAGAAAAATACAAAAATAATGAAACGATAAATAAAAATTGGGAGGTAGCCAAAAAAGAAAGAAAAAGCACACGAAAAGGGAAAGTGGGACAAGGTTCAAGATAATTTCTGATAAACGGCCAAAAATGTATATTTTCGGTGTACTTTTATCTCATAACTTGTGTAGTTACATAAGTTACCTGAGTTTTTGTAGTGAATTATGCTCATTACGTACATTCTTGTGTGTACGAGCAAGTTGGACGAAAAGTGAGCAAAAGAAGTTGATTCGGGACCAAAAGATAAAAGAAGAACTTTGCTCGTTCATTCTCGCGTGTACACGAGAGAGTGAACGAGCTAGCTAAGGAAAAGCTTGAGAAAAAACAACGGATTATGGCAAAAAGGCATGGAAGAGCACGAGAAACTTTGAAGGAAAAGAAAAGGAGAAGAACTTTGCTCGTTCACTCTCGAGTGCGCACGAGAGAATGAACGAGCTAACCTGAAAAGGCTGTTCCGAATTTGGATTATATTATTTCGCCCTAATCAAACCCTACCCCATATAAATAGTCCTTAAACTTACTTTTGAGGGAGAGACGTTTTTGGAGAGGGTATTCGACCCAAGGAGGCAAGAACATGCTAGGAGCAAGGCGGAGAATTCTTCTACGAGTTTTTCACTTCCTTCTTTTTATTTTTATTATTGGTTATGTATTCTAGTATTGTAATTTTGCATATTATTATGAATAGCTAATTTGTTATCTAGGGTTTTGATGGAACTTTTTGTAGGATAAATTCTTGTGACATTTTTATATAATTGAGCCGTTGGATTTCTCTACTTGTTTAACTACGTGTTTATTGATGTTGATTGAATGGCCATCAATTGACTGTGCCTCTTTAGTGTGTATATTGCTCGAGAGAAAGTACACATTTAGGTAATTGTTGAACAACATCACTCCTAATGTATGATAGATCAATGCGGAGGGTTTAAAGGGATGATTAGAGATAATGAAACCTTGGTGTGATCGTAGTGAGCGGTGAATTAGTGCCAATTAGCATAGTTCGAGAGGATACGTCTAATAAATTGTGGTAGGTGCTCGAGAGAGAGCTACGACACCTAAAGTACTCACGATCGGTAGAGAATACTTAGGCGAAATTATAGAAGACGTAGCGGGAAAGATTTCGACAATTGAAAAAATCATAACTCTAGAACTCCTTAATTTAGTCTCCAACTCTTAATGTCTTTAGTTATTAATTTACTATTTTAATTTTGTTAGTTAATTAATTAGGCATAAGAATCTTAATATTTATAATTTAGAAATTATTCGAGCTTGACTTCTTAGTGATATTGAACAGTTGTAGCAAAGCCTGAGTTCTCTGTGAGATTCGACTCCAAACTTTTAGACCGGATTATATTTGCAGCGCATGCTTCTCCTTTTTAGGACTAGAGTTGGGCGTGATCAATTTCCAACTAGAGTTTTACACACAAGAAAAGTTTTAAAAAAGATCTACCAGTCATGTCACATTGTCTAATTTACAGTTGCGGGTGGTAGGATCAGATATTTAACCTAATTTAAGAAAATTTCAATATAGGTATATAAATTTTTTATCACCTTAGCGAGTGCCATGCTACCCAATTGTAAAGGGGTGTGATCCGCCCATGGCGGAGCCATAGTGTGAGTTGCGGGTTCGGTTAAATCAAATAGTTTTTCGTCAAATCTTGTATTTATATCAAGAAATCTAATGAATATGTACAAATTGTGTATTTGGAGCCTAATATTTTAAAATAATTTCAATTTTGAACCCATAAGGTTCAAATCTTAACTTCGCCTCTGAATTAATTCATATTATTCTTAATGTTTGAGAAACAATAATAACGATCCAGTAAAATCTCACTAGTTGGGTCTAGGAAAAGTATTGTATATGCAGATCTTACCCCTACCCAAGGGATAGCGAGACTTTTCCGATAGACGAGAAAATGAAGAGAAAATATAATGGAGAGGAGCGGAATACGATGAAGATTGCGTGTTCTTGCTTAACTTTGCCTGGACGTGTTAGTGAGAGAGTTCAAATTTGTGTTTGCCTTTGACTAGTTTGATTCTTTTTTTGGATCTGGCGGATAAGTCAAAATTTCGGCCAATGTCCCGAGGGCTAGTGGCATGGCATTCAGGGGCGGATTCGGCAGTATTTTCCATGCGAATTATAAATTTATATATAAAAATTTATTAATATTTTAATAAATTATAAATATAAATTTATAACTTTAAAAATATAATAAGTTATATAAATTTATAACTTTAAAAATATAATAAGTTAAATGCTATAAATTTTAAAGATTACATGGCAATGATAATTGATTACAGAAGTCATGGCCTTTTTCTTCCCACAACTTGGCCAAATGAACATCGGACATCATTGTCAAATAATTATTCTCCTATCTCCCAACTAAAATTGTTACATTTACCACTTTTTGATTGGACATAAATAGAGTTTTTAATTTTATTCTCAGTGACAAGAGTTTTAAACCTTTTTTTTTTTCTCCAAACCAGAAATTTCCCTTTCCTCCTTTTCCTTTTTTCCTTTTCTTTTTTTTTAAATTTAAATCCATTCATGGATTTTTTTTTGCTAGTGATGATATTTGGGCCGGCTTTTGCGTACTTCAACGTCATTCATATTACCTTCTACTTGCATCTTACATAATATAGTAAATTTAATTATTGTAAAAATTAAACAAAAACTATTTGTTCCCATCGTTCCAATTTATTTGTCATGATAAGGTTTTACACAATTTTTATGAAAAGATTAATTAAGTGTGTAAATTGACTAATATATTTTCCTATTAATTCTTTAATCTTTGTCTATTTATATGCCTATTAATTATAGGAATAATTATTGCTAAGGGAAAAGTTAGAAAAAATTATTAATTCTCTCTTAATTTTTAAATTTGCAAGTATTTGAAAATAATTACTTTCAGTATACATGACAAATAAAGTATTCAAATAATTGGTGCCCAAATGCAATGTACCAGAAGTTTCCCTCACTTGTTTATTCAACCTTTAGCTTCCCCCCAAATATAGCACACCTTCAGTTAAACCCAGAAATAAAATTACTTTTTTGTTTTTTTTAAAGTAAAAAGATATTTTCGTATATTATTTTTATATTAGATGACTCATTATTGATTGGAGTTGTGTCATCACTGAGTCGTCAACTTTATCAATTTTCTCTTTCTTTTGCTCCTCTCATTTCTTTCTATCTTTGCAGCTTCAATCTTTTCTTACAACTTTTGCATAAATGGCCATATTCTAACGCATATACTAAAGCTTTGAGACAGAAAGAGAAAGGTGCTTTTTTTTTTTTTAATTTATTTTTATTTTATATTAGTTTGATTCCAAAGGTATTGAAGAATCATATAAATGGCCATGATTTCTCGTTTGCTTCGATCCACGGTTAAAGCAGTTATCACCGCCCAGGTTTGTTTTTTTAACGTTTATTAATTATGAAATTCCGTTTTTTTTTTCAAGCTTTATTTTATGTATTAGTTTTCTTGTGTAAAGTTAATGAGTTTCTTTGTTGAATCATCATTTTGTCTGTTTGTTATGTGTTTTTGGCATTTCTAGTGGATTTGTTTTGAGTTGAAAGTGGCTATAAGTTTTATTTTTGATTTTATACTGAAGCTTGTTAAATAGAGAATGAGACAACCGAGGTTGATTTATTGGGACAGAGAATGATAATACGGAGCTTCATTTTGTCTTTTCTCATTCTCAGATATCATAAATGAGAAAACGAAAATTGATCTGGAAAATACACTGTTATCAAAAAAGAAAAGAAAAAAAGGAGTGCCTCTGCTCAAGTATAAGCTAAGCTTTTTGGAGTTGGAACTGATTGATACATTCAATTTTACATAATAACTTGTAGTATGTTTTTAGGAGCTGTCATCAAGTCACTGTTTTCAGGTTCTTCTTTGTTGACATGTGACCAGGAGGTCACGGGTAAGTCTGCATAGAATAGACACTATGGAAACAGGCCCTTTTGGGAACAGGCTCTTGCAAACAGGCCCTTTTGGGCCCTTTTGGGCACGGGTAGGTTCTTCTTTGGAAACAGGCTCTTGCAGAAATGCAGGGTAAGTCTGCATAGAATAGACCCTTTTGGTCTGACTCTTACCAGGTCGCCGCACATAGTGGGAGTTTAGTGCATCGGGCTGCCCTTTTTTTTTAATTTTATTTAGGATGATCTTAAGCTGAGAATTCTTTTAGTTGTTTTCTAGCCTTGGGTTGATCACCTTTCTGCTGAAGAATAGTGAAATTAATCAGAGGGCAACCGATTGTGGACAAACCAAAAGACCAATAAACTCTTTCATGGTGTTTGATTGACTGTCTCTTGAACAGCCTGTTGCTTAATCTAAAACATTCAACTATGATATACAACTGAGCAGTGGCTGTCGAAATTGCATTTGGAGCATCACCATCTATTGATTCACATTTTGGTGAATTGTCCGAGCACAAGCCTTGGCTTTACACAGACTTGGGAAAATCAAGGAAAAAGAATGTATTGCACAGAGGAGTTTTTCATTCGATCATTTTTTAAGAATTTACAGTCTGCACTATGCAGAGACTCTATGTCAAAATGTAATGTTGGATTATACGGGAATGAAGTTTCCTGAGGCACTTTTCTGGTGTTTTTAAGTTCATTTTCTGTTATAATATTTGTTTTATAAGTATGATTTTATTGATGTATAGGGGAAAACCCTGGTAAGAGGTATACAAAAGGTAACGAGCCTTACACAAAAATAGGTTTAGCACTGTGCAGGGGCTAAATCTCTTAGACTTGTTCTTAGATGTAAGATTTCGAAGACTAAGTAAATTTAGTTCCATGAAGCAGTATTGTTTTTGTTTTTCGACTTGCCATTATGTTGTTTCTGTTCTAATTAATCTGGCTTTGTAGGGTAGTTTCCATGCAAAACATATTCCAGCTGTCAGCAGTTTACAGGAGCATATAGTTCGGAATTCAACACAGGCTAGATATAATAGTACACAGGCATCTTTGCAAAATAATATTCCATCAACTGATAATAGAGGGTAAATTCTGTTTCTCTTTCTTACCACTTGATTTCATTTTTCACCTCCCATGTCTGTGGACAGTCATTACCAATTTAACTTGGCATTTCTTCATGTGTAGTATATTAAGCCATGTGTGATTATCTCTGAATATATTTCAGTATATATCTGAATATATTTCACTCAGTTGACATATAAGGCGTGCACCTACAAAGTACGTATATTTTTCATTAACCAATACATCTCCATTTTTGCAGGTTTAAGGGTCATGATATGTTGGCACCCTTCACTGCTGGGTGGCAAAGTACTGATGTGGATCCTTTGATTATTGAGAAGTCTGAGGTTAGATTTATGGCTACTTTGGATGTCTAACTTGAGAAAACTTTTTTTTTCCTTACCAATTTTTAAAATTTGTCATAGGGATCCTATGTCTATGACATAAAAGGGAGAAAGTATCTTGATACTCTAGCTGGTTTGTGGTGCACAGCATTAGGTACGTAAGATCCCTTTTTTTAAGTCTTTGGTGTGCACCCTTCTTTCTCCAAATGTTTTAATATTTTTATCTTTCAAGTAAGTTTTGCTGTTTGGTTAACTCTCTAGCCAGACATTGACAAGCTTAAGTTTTCACTCATTATGCCAGATATTTTTCTTACACGATTTAACTGCTAATTCTTTTCGGTAATGAGAATAAGTAATTGCATCATGATCATAACACCAAGCAATTTGTTTTAAATTGATGTTTAACTCCATTAATGAAATTGTTGTGCATCTTCAGTTTATTTTGTAGTCAATGTTTACTCTGTTATCCGGATTTTGTTGCATTTGAAACGTGTTGGAGGATGACAGCTTGAACCATATATTGTAAGGTTACCATTAAGGAAAACTCGTAACTGTTTTAATCTTGGTAAAAGCTTTTTTTTTTTTCATTATCCAAGTATAAGAAAATAGTTTAGTCTGAGTTGTTTAGATTTATGAATTTTAAGGGATAATTATAGTTCCATACATCCATTTTGGGAAATAGACTTTCCATCCTTTCAGAAAATTGTGCTAGGTCTATTCGTGTTTCATATTCGTGATGTAGCTCTGTGTTTGTCAGATTGCTACAGTTAACTGGATATTTGCTTTTAAATCTCTTAACTTTTTATCTTGGGAAATACTCGACGACATTATATTCAGTTGGGAGGCCGTTATCCTGTCTACTCAATGTATCAGTTGTAGAAGTTGTTATTCCATTGCTGCAAACTAATTTTCTAAAGAAAGTGGGAAGATCTATCACTGCTGTACAATTGCAACAAGTATGCCATATTATATCTCTACTGTTCAACGTGTCACATGTTGAACTGTGATAGTCTAGTGGGCGGTCCAAATTCCCAAAACTGGAGAGGCCTCAGAAGGGCCTTAGACTTTTATGTGATTGCTCAAGTATGCTTAAACAAAAACAGTTTAGAACTTGTTATCAGACAATGGCTAATTCTTGACAGCTATGGAACTTTGTAATGAGTTTTTATTCATGATGTATCTGGAACATGTCTACACTTTTTTAAACAACTTAAATATTCTTGTAGGGGGAAACGAGCCTCGCCTTGTTGATGCTGCCACTAAGCAATTGAACACATTGCCCTTTTACCATTCATTTTGGAACCGTACTACAAAACCTTCTTTGGTATGGCAAACACTGAGCAATGTCCTTACATGGAAAAGGAAAATCTCAGTGATGTCGGAATTTGGTTTTGAAGTTTTACTTGGATCTCAGGCTGATTGCACTTTGAAATATACAGGATCTTGCGAAGGAGCTTCTGGATATGTTTACTGCAAATAAAATGGCGAAAGCATTTTTTACAAATAGCGGATCAGAAGCCAATGATACCCAGGTTTTGCTTATTGCCTTCAAACACATAATTATATATTCTAGCTGCAGCTCAGGTTTTTTCTTAAAACACTTGCTAACCATCAGAACAGTCCATATTCTTGGGGATAGTGAAAGAGCATTGGACATTTTGCTCTTATTTTTGGGCATGTGGCAGTTCTGTATTCAATGAAAATGAATGCAATAGTTGCCTTGAGATTTTCTTTTTTGTGTAGAAGTGTCATAACCAATAGCAGGATTTTATCTGAAGAAGTATATGCGGATAATATGTACCCCTTTTACCTCAACTGTAGGTGAAGCTGGTATGGTATTACAACAATGCTCTTGGAAGGCCAAACAAAAAGAAATTTATTGCTCGAGCAAAAGCGTAATCTGATACCTCAACTGTTTATTCTTTTTTGGTTTTCTGTCCCTTTTTTCTTTAAGCTTACATAATGTTTTTGCTCATTCGTTGTACAGATATCACGGTTCAACTCTCATTTCTGCCAGTCTCACTGGGTAATATAATAAACACTATTGGACATCAAATCGCTGAGATTTGTTTTTGTGTTTCAAGTATCTGTTTGGCTAATACTTTCTTTTGCAGTCTTCCTGCACTGCATCAAAAATTTGATCTTCCTGCTCCATTTGTACTGCACACTGACTGCCCTCATTATTGGCGCTATCATCTGCCAGGTTATTACTTATTCTTACTGGCTCTTAGGTTTGTCCTGTTCTTATGGTGTAATATACCATTTTTGTTGAAATGTACCGGCCAGGTGAGACGGAGGAGGAGTTCTCAACCAGGTTGGCTAAAAATCTGGAAGATCTTATCCTCAAAGAGGGGCCTGAAACAGTAACTTCTGTCAACTTTAACTCACTGCTGCTCAGTTTCTGCACTGGGGGTGATTTATTGCTGATTAATTTACTTTTTCACCTCAGATAGCTGCTTTCATTGCTGAACCAGTCATGGGGGCAGGAGGTGTCATACCTCCTCCAGCAACTTATTTTGACAAGGTAGTTTTTTTTTGTGGCCTTTTATCCGTTCCTTTTCATTCTTGCGGGAGGAAGCTATTTGCTATTGCATTGCTGTTTTTTCGCATTACTACTTAAAATGCGGCATGCAATGCTCAATCTAGGATGTAAGAGCTCTTCTATTGTGTGATTCTGAAGAATGAAGGCAATCAGCTATTTATTCCTTGCAGTTTTTGGATTTTTGCAATTATATTTTTTAATTCCTACAGATTATGCTTATATACAACTGAAACAGCAATTTCTCCCTTTCTTTTATAGATCCAAGCTGTAGTGAAGAAATATGACCTTCTTTTCATAGCGGATGAGGTCATCTGTGCCTTTGGGAGGCTTGGAACAATGTTTGGCTGTGACAAGTATAACATCAAACCCGATCTTGTCTCCCTAGCCAAGGTAGATTAAACAACATCCTATCTCGGCTATCCCAACTTATATCTGGATTATAAATTTTCTTTCCTGAATTGTTTTTCAGGCTCTTTCTTCTGCATATATGCCAATTGGAGCTGTCCTTGTAAGCCCTGAAGTTTCTGATGTAATATATTCTCAAAGCAATAAACTTGGTGAGCTTACTATTAGTTTGATAGCATAACAAATCATTTCCTTTTTGTCTGTTAGTCGAAGCACTGAAAGTTTTTCTGGAACTAGGTTCCTTTTCTCATGGATTCACTTATTCTGGGCATCCTGTGTCGTGCGCGGTGGCATTGGAAGCTCTTAAGATCTACAAGTACGTATGCTTCAAATTGCCTTTCAACTTTCTTCCTGCCAGTTTAGGATTGTATGAACATGTGCTTATAATTTGTTGCCGTTATTTGTAACTTGCAATTGACTTATCTGCTAGTACAGTCTGCTTATTGTAGCATTACGATTGCTGACAGCTCTGCAGTTTAGCAAGACATTGAGCATGAAAATCAAGAATATATGTTAAAACTGTACTTCCCCAGATTAGCAATTGTACTTAGCTAGTGCTAAAGCTCTGAAAATGTTCAAATTATTTCAGGGAACGAAATATGGTTGAGAAAGTAAATACAATATCCCCAAAGTTCCAAGAAGGTCTGAAGGCGTTTTCTGACAGTCCCATAGTCGGAGAGGTAGAATTAATCACTTATATAAAAGTGGTGTCATAACTTCCTAACGAATAGTTATTCATTCGCTTCCCTCTTACTTTTCTGTAGATTAGGGGAACTGGTTTGATCCTTGCAACGGAGTTTGCCAATAACAAATCTCCCAATGATCCTTTCCCTCCTGAATGGGGTATGTAATTTCTTCATTGGCTCTTCAATCAAAGGCCGTATTTAACTCTTAGCTCATTCAAACTGCTCATTGATGCTCAGGTATTGGTACATATTTTGGAGCACAGTGTGAGAAGAATGGTATGTTGGTACGTGTTGCTGGTGATATCATAATGATGTCTCCTCCATTTATAGTGACTCCGGAAGAAGTTGATGAGGTATGTTTATGCCTTGTATTTAATATATAAATTTGTGTGCGTCTTCGTGTGTATTTCTTGTTGATAGCTTTGCTGATTGATGTTGCAGCTGCCCTTCTCTGTTATTGTTTCTTATCTTGTTGTAAATATAAACCATCTCATGAAATCTGAAAAGCTGTAAAACCATTCTCCTTTGTGCAGTTGATTAGCATCTATGGGAAAGCATTAAAGGAAACTGAAAAGAGGGTGGAAGAACTCAAGTCTCAGAAGTAATAGTTGACAGAAAAAGCTTGATGATGGCGAAAAAAACAGATATACAAGCACAATTAAAACCAAAATGTCTTGGCTATACTGTAAAATGTCCAGAATGAATGAAGTAAGAAATATAATTTTAAGTCCAAGTTGCTCCTCTTCTCTTTCTTTGGATTGTAATTTTGTTTGCAGTAAAATTCCAGCTTTTGATCCATAAATGAAGATGGCTATCCCTTTCACCAGTTGTCATTCAAGATACTGTATTACAAAACTTTCCCAAGGTAGTTTGTATCAAATGCGGCCAAGTATTATCGTAATTTTAATACATATGCTTGTTAACTTTTAAGTTTTATATGTTCGAGCTTGTATGTTGAGTAATTGACATGAAGTAAGTTAACATAAATAAAATTTATAAAAATAATATCTCATGATATTACCTCTGAAATAATCGTTTACAAGGATAAGTTTTTTTGTGTGTTCTGGTCGACATAAATAAGAAACCATCTAAATGAGTTGATAAGGTTGGATAATGACTTGGGAGTGGCCCAAACTTCACTTGTTATCAAGAGTCGTCCCAATCTTTTGGACATTAATTATATGAGATTTTTACATAAATGTCCCAAATAAGCTTTAATTTACCAACCTTTAGCCATTAATCATAGATTTACTAAAATTAGCCAAGCACATAAAATTAAAAACTTACATAAATAAGGTTCTTTCTCTCCAAAAATTACACTCAAAGATTTCCTTCCATATTTTTAAGAGTGATCAGCAACATCAGATGCAAGATGGAAAGAAAATTCCATGGATGAGGTAGCAAACAATGTGATGAAATACAAAATATATAAAATTCCATGGATGAGGTAGCAAACAAGGTGATGAAATACAATATATATATAATCTAAGCAAAAAAAGAACTTTTTTCAATGGGTATGGTTGAAATTTATTGAAATCATGTAGATGAGTCAATATACAATTTTTGAAGAAGGTTGGAGGTGATTTGGTATCAAAATTCGTAGTTAAAATCGAGTTCAAAAATTTCTTCTGTGATACATGTATTAAACATGTATCACGCATGTGTTACACATACATGTATACATGGATAAACACATGATACACATTTGATACAAATATATTACATATGTGATACAAAAATGATACACAGTGTGATATGCATATAATTTGTTTTTCATATTTCATCTTTTACTTCGAATTTTCAATTTAAACCAGCTAAAAACTCCGCCAAATCATCCCAAAACTGAGATTCAAACTCTTTAAGATGTACCCAATCTATTCTAGTAACACCCACTCAAAAAAAAGCAAAAATTTGACCTTGTTTTGGCTACAAATAGGCAATTGACTAATATTAATAATATTTGGCTAATATTAGTAATATTTAATAAATTGATTAATTTTTGTAATAAACTACTTATAAATAAGTATAAGTGGGAGTTTCCATGATTATATTTCTCTAACTATTACATGGGTAAACAATTTTTAGTGCACTACTTGTAAGGTGACAAACTAAACAATAAACCTGGTTCAAAAGACCATACAAATTCTTAATCAAGGAATCATATTTTTTGGAATCACTAAGTCAACGTGCTGCTTCGATTTGGTTTTGGCATTAATCTTGGAAGGTTTTAGTTCATATATTTCACACTATAATTTATTTAATTTGTTGTAATAGGTAAATCTTGATTATTTCTTTTACTAGTCTTCACGGATTGTCATAAATATATTGTCTTATTTTATTTTGCAAGTGACATGTAATTACCTTTTATGTGACCTGATAAATTAGAGTGCTTTTATACTATCATGTATAGAAGTTAAACTCTTAAAAAGTTGTGTCATGGATTAGTTTTTGACAAAAAAATTTGAAACATATTTGTAGCATTTTTTGGAAACTCCCCTTCTCGAAAAGTAAACTAACTTGAGAGGCTTTAGTCTCTTCCTTATAGGCCAAGATCTTAAATTAAATAGCTGTCAACTTAATCACTTAAATTAAAAATAACTAATAAATATATAAAATAATATAATGATATATAATTAATGTATAATTTATATATATATCAGCTATAAAAAAGTAAATATTGAATTCGGCCTAGAATTTATGTGATCTCATTTCAAACGCAAGTGATTGTTTGAAAGTGAAGCGCAGAAGACAAAAAGGGAAGGATTGTGTAGCATGCCTCGGCAGCTTGGCCCTAATATTTCATTGACTTACTCTGGGGCACAAAAATGGTGAATATTTTTCCTAATTTAGAATTTTTCTTCCTCTTCTTGCTATCTAATCTTACAAAATACCATAAAAAACTCTTATAGAGAAACTCGACTTTTGAAACTGAGGACACAAAAGTTTCAAGATTCCTCGTATATAAAAAAGTTAAGAACATTAAAGAGGCTATAGCTCTTTGATGAATCATTTTTGATTTCTATTAGGAAACTTATTAACTAGTAAGCTAACTGATAAATTGAAACCATTTCTAATTAATTAGAATATATGTAAACAAAACTTTTCTTCTTAGATTTGTGCTTTCTTTTACCTAAACACCTACTTTCAACTTCAAACAACTCGTCTATATTCTGTAACCAACCTAACATTCTAGACAAAGACATACATTTCTTTCCTCTTTTCTTATTCACTTTGACCATATGAGTTGGTGGTGGGGTGGGGGCAGAGGCCGACCAGAATTTCGACATTATGAGTTCTGGATTTTGAAATGATGAATTTAAGTTTTAATAATTGGGATCTAAATAATATTTGAATATATTTAATGAATTTCTAAAAATAAATACATTGTTTGAACAAAAGTTAATGAATTCTTCCAAACCCGTAACTGGGCTACTAGCTCCGTCGTGGTTTTTTTTGGATCCTTTCCGCAATTGCTTATCCTTAATTGAAGTTATTATTA